TATTTTCCTTGTTCACGTAGGTCTTAAAAAGTGTAAATCCAAAGATGTGCGTGGTTCCCATATGCAGGGCCATGAAAATTTTTGGAGGGTAAGCTGCTAACTCGGAAACTAGGAAAGCTGGAAAGCTGAAATTTCAAGGGGATGTTTCCTGAAAGTCCTGGCCGCAGCTTCAATTTGTTTAGCTAGAAGCATATGCCAAAAAAAAGGTGCCGTTTGCGACAAAAACCTGCTGGGAACTATGCAAAAAACGCATCGTCTCACCAGCAGTCGATGCGCTGTCCAATTATTCTTAACTGATTCAGCTGTTCCGTTACTGCACACAGCTTTGTTAGGAACGGAAGAACTGGAGTAACCCTGAAAAGAAGGACTTCTCTTTTGTTTAATATTTTACATTTATTCATAATCTGAAGTTGTAAATTTTAGGTCGCGTTGCGATACAGTACGTGGAGGCTGCCAACCCCAAAGACAATTTCACTTTCAAATGTCATCGTTCTGCGGAACTCATCAACGGTTATCAGGAAATTTACGCTGTAAATAATTTTTTTTACAGGCTCCATTAATGCATTTATAAGCTGAAGAATTCGCTAGGGAATAGAAATATTTTTATGTCGGATGTGACAAAAAGTACATATGCGAAGGGAAATCCTGTTTATTCTAACTTTTGAGGACAACTTTTTTCATTTAGGTGAATGACACTGCTTTCCATCCTAATTACGGGACGTTAGCAACGGTTGGCTCGGATGGCCGAATTTCATTTTGGGATAAAGATGCCCGAACAAAACTGAAAACATCGGATGCACTGCCAGCTCCAATAACACGATGTACAATACATCAGTCCGGGCAGATGATGGCTTATGCTATCGGATACGATTGGAGTAAGGTATGATTTGTGCCGCTTAAAGCATGCTTTTCACCACGCGCGTATCTCATCAAACCAATTCGATCTCTGACTTCATTTCCTTTGCGATTAGGTATTACCAACAAACTTTTCTTGTGCTTACCGCATAAGCTTATTCCATAACACTGACATTTCTACATTGACTACGTACGCGATCTTGATGAAGACATAAGTGCAGGTTTCGCGCGAACTAGGTGCATGTTCATAACGAAGTGTTTTTCTTTCTTGGCCGCTGTTAAGCCTTTTTTAGTGCTAGCAAACTGTGCAGATGCGGAAAAATTGCAGGGACATGAAGGCCACAATGCTCAAACTGCTGGTAGCAAAATTTTCTTGCATGCGTGTGATGAGGAAATGAAACCGAAACAAAAGAAATGACACGGTGCTTGATCCGACTGGTTCTGTTGGCGGATTTTAAAATTGTTGTGTGTTGACTATTTTCCATCTTTTATTTTTTTTTTAAAATGTTTGCTGTTTTAAAATTAGGATCCTAATTTCCATGATTGCCGGGTCAAATAAGCTTTGAGCAGATCACTTTGCCGATGAGTCCCGAGCATTCGGTTTTTTTGTATACCAACTTTGGCTTTTTGCCCTCAAACAATTCGTATTGCGTTATTGTTTTTGTAAATGTGGATATGCAGTTATA